CATGTTTTCACATGGATTAGCTGTTAGCTCCTTTTTATTGCTAGGTAGTGTTGTGCTGGATGATTTGTTTATTCATTCTCCCTCTGAAATATGTTTGGGTGGTTTCCAGATTTTCAATATAATGAAAAAAGTGGCTACTAGCATTGTCATATAGCTATTGTTTTGTGAACACATTTTATTGCTTTTGATTAAAAGCTAGGGGTAGAAATGCTAGATCCTAAGTTTGGTGTATGTTTAACCTTACTGGAAACTGTCAGCTTGCTTCTCACAATACGGATTTTGTTAATGAAGCCAATTGTCCTATGAAGTGAATTCTTTTATTTCATTTTATGATTTGTTTTTGTCTTCAGGTATTGATATAGTATGGGTATGCATTCTTCTGAAATGTATTCTTCAATATTAGATTAATTACATCATTTTAGTTTTCCTTAAAAATATTTCTGAATTCTAGCCGGGCGGTGGTGGCGCACGCCTTTAATCCCAGCACTCGGGAGGCAGAGGCAGGTGGATCTCTGTGAGTTCGAGGCCAGCCTGGACTACAGAGCAAGATCCAGGAAAAGGCGCAAAGCTACACAGAGAAACCCTGTCTCAAAAAACCAAAAAAAAAAAAAAAAAAAAAAAAAATTTCTGAATTCTTTACAAAACAAATTAAAACCTGGAAAATTTATATTGGAAAATTTGAGATCTGCCACATACTTTGTTTTCTTTAATAGTCAATATATGCAAAAATTCTTGGAACATGTGTTAGTCATAAAGTATAATCATGAAGTGGAAGTTTGTAAATTCTCCATATTTGTAGGAACTTTGTGTGTGCTCAGGGGATGCCCCTCTTCTCTCCAAGGGAGTAAATACCCTTCATTCATCCTTTATATAATTGGTATATTTATTTATATACCCATGTACTGAATTTTGTTGCTAAAAAAAAACCTTTCCATTTTTTTCTTTGCATTCAGGAGCTTCATTAAAATGGTGTCAATGCTGTGTGGCTTTCTGGAACCTGAGTTCCAGTTCTCTCAACATTCTGTCTGGAAGACCTTGCCCTTGATTATCTGAGGCAGTAGTTCACCTCCTTGCTGTGGATTAAGATTTCATTCTGTAAACTGACCACAACATACCTTATTACCTGTAACACTTGTCAGTTAATTTGGGCTGTGTCTCTTGTGTTCACTGCATACATGTCACATATTTTGGGAGTCTGGGACATTCAACAAGATAATTAGATCTGAAGCAGTTATTAAGTAAAAAAAATTTTTATATTTTGAAAACAAGAAACCAATTTCTGCTCAAAAAAGGAGAATGTGTAAGATGCCTGGGGAAAATGGTATAAAGCAAAATGTGTGAGTCACCATCCCTGTAGGTTTAAAGCAAACAGGTCTTTGTTTCCAGTGTTGAGGAAAGGTAAGTTTGATTGGGTAGGCAGAAGGTAATCACAAAGAAAGTGAAAAGCAACATCGTTTTCAATGTTAAAGTCGAGTCTCAAAGCAAGGTCAGTTTCAGCTCATCTTCACTCAACTTCTCTGTCTAAAAGTGGTCATCCTATTGACTTCCAAAACTTTCGGAAATATTTAAAAATTCACAAAAAAATTTTTTGGTTAAAAAAACAAAACAAAACAAAACAACTAAAGGCTATCCCTACAAATAACTGTTACTTCTCTTTGTTTTATATACTTATGTTTTCAGGGACAAATGTATATTCATTTTCATAACTAATATTAAAAACATATTGCATTTAAAGATTTTATGTTGCACAAACCTAAGAATCACTGCTAAACTTTGTCTTATCCTACAAATATGGATCAAAACATTCTGAAATCAAATCTAATGCTATTCCTTTGCACTTGAATTATATGCTGAGAGTCCCAGGCTGAAAGTATTAAGACTCCCTTCGATGCAAGGGAATGCTCTGAAGAAATACTTTAAAATTAGAAGACTGAAATTTATATTTTAAAATGATGCATGATAAATTAAAGTTCTAATATATCTATTTCTTAACGTTCAGGAACATCTAAAACTGAAACAATTTATTTAAAAAATAAGGCAAGTTTCAGCTAAACAAAACAGCCCTACATGTACAATTTTCTTTCTTTCCTTTTAAATGCTCCTTCTATACAGCCGATTCACTGAACACAAGCCCACAATTTCCAAGGGAAAAACTGATTCAGACGATACAGAAAAACATGGGCTTAGTTTCCTTTACGGTAGCTTTTGATTTGTTTTCAGCTCTAAATTTAATAAAAATCCTCTATGAAAGATGGGATGCATAAGTGCAATGCCGAAATCTTCTACTATTCGAGTAATGAAAGAAACCTTTCTTTGCTACAGAACGGGTCCTCTACACCAAGCAGACAGTCCGACTGTTTACGAGAAAAACACTTCTATTTGATCCAGACATCCACAACGCTTATGAGCCATCTTTTTATTTATCGTGGATATCAATTAGCCTGAGTCATGAAGCCCGACCGCATTAAGGGCGACACGTGATTCAATCACTATTTTTAAAAGTCCACGTATTTCAAACTCTTCTCTCCAGCCATTGCTGGCTTCTCCCCCTTTGAGGACCTGGCCTCCGCAGTGTTTGTTCGTTAGATGGCAGTCCCGGGGAAGCCTCGTCTTGGGGAAACCTCTCCTCTGGCACATTCGAGAAAAAAAACAACACGGAGGAGACTTGGGCTGGTGCTAGTTTCTCGTCCCTTACGGATCAAATGAAGCTCGGGGGACGCCGAGGGGAGGGGGATTTGAGGCAGGTGCGGGTGGGTTACTGCAGTGGCGACCGAACCCGGGTGAATGCCACACGTTTCTTAGGTTGGGACCCGAGGCGGACAACGTGTCCGGGTCGGGATACCCGCCCGCAATCCCTTCCTTGGGAACCCTTCGGACACGCCCCCCAGCTCCGGGTTCCCGCAGCCAGGCACGCGCTGCGGTCCCTCTCCGCAGCTGCCCACGTGGTGGTGGAGCCTGGAACAGAGAGATGCGGTGCAGCGCCCTCAGGGCGGGAGTGAGATGGGGATGGGAGGCCCGGCCAGCACGACCCAGCCGAGTCGGTCCCCGACTCGGGGCCCCCACATTTCCTCCCCCGGAGGGAGGGAGGCGACATTCCTTGAGCCAGCCCTCCCGGGCGGCCGCCGCGCCCTCTGGCGGCCGTCGCCGAGACGCGCCCTGGGCACGAGGGGCCGCCTGTCTGGGTCCCCTTTCCAGGGCTCGGGGCCCGCGGTGGGATCGCCGTGCTCCCACAAGAGCCACGCGGACCGCGCCCTGTCCGCTTCCCGACTGCGCGCCAGCGCCGGAACACCCGGGGAGCCCCGCCACGGGTGCCCAAGCCTGGCGTGGAAAGTGCCCTGCGTAGCAGTCTTCGGGGGTCCCCTTTCCCCCAGGTGTGCCCCTCCCGCCGCGTCCGGGCTTTCCACCACGCTGCGAAAAAATGCCGCATGCATGCACTTATTTATTTATTTTGCAACAGCTGCAAGAAACAATGAAGCTTTTTTTTTTCCACCGAGCGGGCCGGCGCGCTCTCCAACCGCGCTGTTGTTGTTTTCAATGAAGCTTCGGGGCCGCACTCCCCGCCCACCGCGCCCGCCTGCCCGCCCGCCCGCCCTGCTGCCTCCCGGGCCACCGAGTCCCACCGGCGCCCGGGGCATTGTTTTTTGGAGTCCTGCGGGAGGGGAGGGTGCGTACAGGGTTGGCCGGCGCAGTGCGGGTGGGGGCGGAAGCGTGGGCGCGCGCGGGCCAGCGCGGGTGGAGGCGCGGGGGGGCGGTGCCTCCCTAGCCCGGCTCCCCACGCCCGCGCTCCGCTCCGCACGTCCCTGCGATCCCGGACTCCGGCTCTTGGCGCCTGCCGAGTCGGGGCCCGGCCCTCGGCGCGCCGGGACTGCGGCTGTGGCCGCTTGGAGTGTGCGCGCGGGCACGTGTGCGCGGCCCCGAGAGCGCGCGCCTCGAGCCCCCAGTGTGTGGCGGCGGCGGCGGCGGCGGCGGCGGCGCGGTGAGGCTGAGGCTCTTGTTTACCAGCATTAACTCCGCTGAGCGGAAAAAAAAAAAAAAAAAAAAGGGGGAGCGGGGGGGGGGGACCGAGGAGGAGCGAGCGCACCGGGCGAACTCGAGAGGGGCGAGCGACAGGGAAGCCGCCAGCGAGCCTGTCCCGGCGCGCCTGGCGCTCGCAGCCCCTCGGCCCCGCTCCTCGGACCCTCCACGCCTCTCCCGCGCCTGCGAGAGCTCCACGGCGCGCGGCGCGCTCGGCTTTGACCTTCAGCGAGCCGGAGCCCCCGCGCACGGAGTCGGCGGCGGCGGGCGGGGGCCGACGCGGGGCGGCGGGAGCGCTGAGCGCTGCACGGCCGCCGCTTTGTGTGTGTCCTGGATTTGGGAAGGAGCTCGCGGCGGCGGCGGCGGCGGCGGCGGCGGTGGTGGTGGCGGCGGCGGCGGCGCTGAGGGAGGAGGCGGCGGCGAGCGGAGCCCAGAAGAGGAGGAGGAGGAGGAGGAGGAGGAGCCGGAGGAGGGGGAGCCGCTCATTCATTTCCACTCCGCATATCTACCCCTCGCCGGCCTCGCCCGCGCCCGGGACTTCGGACCAGTCTCGCCAACTGCGTCGCGCTCTCCCGCCGCGGAGGCTTGGGCGGTCGCTCCCTCCGGGCATCTGGGGGCGTTTGTCCTCGCCGGCGGCGATTTGGGCTTCGCTCCTCTTTCCGTACAGTTTTTCCCCCTCTTCTGCATCTCTGGGTTTGCAAATGGAGGCCGACGACGCCGACAGCCCGCCCCGGCGCGCCCCGGTTTCCCGACTCCGCCGCGCCGTGGGCCGCTGCTGCCGGCGCTGAGGGGCCGCCTCGCGCCACCCTCCCCTTCCACGCCGCCTTCCGAGGACCGTCGCCTGCGCTCTTGTTTTTGGACGAGAGTGAGGACTGAGTTGGAGACTTTTTTTTCCCCCCTTTTCCTTTTTGATCTATTTTCTTTTCCTTTTTTCTTTGTTTTTGTTTTTTATTTTTATTTTTTTTTTTTCGAGAAAAGGGAATTTCGTCCCAAATAAAAGGAATGAAGTCTGGCTCCGGAGGAGGGTCCCCGACCTCGCTGTGGGGGTTCGTGTTTCTCTCCGCCGCGCTCTCGCTCTGGCCGACGAGTGGAGAAAGTGAGTATTTGCCCGCCGCCCGCGGCCACTGCGGGAACTTTTCCTCCGAGGGGCTGCGCCCTGTTTGGGAAAACCCAGTTGCCACGGGCGCAGCTGTCGGACTCCGGGGCTCGGGAGCGGAGGGTGGGGCTCTCCCGGAAGGCCGGAGGGGAGCGGGGCCCGAGCTCCTGGCTCGGGAGCCCCACCGGCCCTGGCTCTCCACGCATCCGCGCGCGGGAAGGGCCTCGGGGCTTTCTCTTTCGCTGTCCCGGGAGCGCTGTCCCGCGCGCGGCCTGGTGGGTGGGCAGCACTTGCTCCCCGGCGGTTCGGGGGCAGCCCACGCCTGGGCACTTGGTGGGGAAGTTAGTGTCTGGGTGGGCCTGGGTCCCCCCCACCCCATCCCCGCCCGCCACCCTCGCCTCTCCCCAGCCCTGCGCGCGGGCCTCTCCGCACCCAGCGCCCATCCCGCGCAGCGCACTACGGTGACAGCACCTTTGGAGGCTTCACGGGTGGCGGCTGGGGTAGACCGTGTGTGCCGGTGGCGGCGAGAGGGAGCCTCCTGCCCCACGGGGTGCAAGTTGTCCTTGAGGGGGAGGTGCGGGGTGGGGAGGCCTCGCGGCCCCAGGACACGTTTCCAAACATCACCGCGCGGCCTCCTGTCGCCCAACTTGTTTGGTCCATCAGGTTCTTGGCCTTTCGCATCTCATGAGCCAGTGGGCGTCTAGTACCCTCTTCCCCCACGGCTTGGTGACTCGGGGTTGTCCGATGTGGCTCTGGGGTTCAGGGTGTACTGAACTTCCGGACTTTCCCTAGGGAAATGTGAGCTTGGGACCTTCTTCAGACTCCTGCTTTGGGGGTGGGAGGCTTGGATCCCCAACTTAAGAGGGTCCTTGGGCAGTCTCTCAGTTTCTACCCATCCCTGGACACCCCTTCCGAAAAGCGTCTAAGAAAGACGTGGTAGGGGCATCGACCCATGCACAGAGCCGAGGACGTGCTTTTCCACACATGTGCTCTCAGCGCGGGTTTAGGTGCATCCACAGTCACACGACCACGAGGGGACACCTGGGACTCCCGGCCCGGGGGAGAGGTGTCGTGTGCGGTGGTTTGGGAAGCGTCAGGATCTGCAGTGTGGTAGTAGAGGGGTGGTTGTTTTGTTTTGCGAGCTCGGAGCCCTGGCCTTGGTTTTGTTGTGGCCAGAGTTGTGTTGCACTGCCAACCCCCCGCCCCGCACTTCCTTTGTACATACTTAATAAGCAGTATCGCTCCAGGCTCGCTATCGCTTGCAATCTGATAGCTTTTGTTTTGGTGGTGTCGGGTAGGAGTGTGGGGGGGTGTCTCGGGGAGGGAGAACTCTCCACAGTGGCAGGAGGAGGCAGGGGGAGGAGGGGATTTGTTCTCGAGAAAAACAGTGTGGCATACTGGTACTTTTGAGAGGGTTCAGTAATTTTGAACACGATTAAAAGTTTAAGCTGGGGAGGTGAGGGAGTGCGGATGAGTAATGGTTGCAGAATGTATGCAGGTGGTGCCTATTAACTTCGAAAAATCACGGTTGAGCCTTGAGGAGTTAGCGCGCGCGGGGCGGGGAGTGGGGGGAGGAAGGAGGGGCACGGGATCGATGGAGGCTGCGCGGGGCGTGCGGCCCCCACTACTGGGGTAGTTAACAAAGGCTGTTTCTATAAACAAACCCTTGAACCTTTTTAAAGAAATGTCCACAATGGAGTACGAGCAGAACTTTTTGGAACTATAGCTGTTTACTGCCTGGAGTCTACTGCGCAGACTGGGGCCGACCCACAAATCTGGCTCTCCTGTCCTTTGTTTTCCAAACTTTGAGCACACTGGATTGGGCGAAAGGCTTCTGGCTCCCTTCTACTAGGCGTTTAGGTGGTGTTTTGGGGGGCAGGGAGGATTTCTAGCCTTGAAGGACTAAATATGGTTTAGAAGACTCTAGGAATGAGTGCCATTTTACTATGGCATCCTATTGAACTGTGTACTTTATCTACTTTAGTTATTTAATAGTACAAGTTCTAAAATGCAAAGTAATAGAGATGGCCTTGCTTCTCGGGCTGCCTGAAGCAGGTTGGGACTGGGTCTTCATGAAGAATAGTCTTTGTCCAGAGCAAGGATGGCAGGAAAAGGATATTTTAATGTGTGTTGTTTTTAATCCCGTGATGACCAAGCTCTTCCTAAGGCTTCTTTAAAATGTGATGGTTGGCTAGAAAGTACCCGGAATCGGTTAGGGCCTCTTCAAGTCTGTCTGCCGTTCCTTCCTCTTAACAAACAGTTGAAGGGTTATGGGTAACATAGAACACCCGTTTAGTTTTAGTCTGAAAGGTGCTAGACCACTGGTCTTTAGTCCCTGGGTCCCAACTGAGACAGTCTTGGAACTATGCAGGTTCACTTGCTGGTATTAGGTTTAGGGATTGGTGGCTCTTTGGAGTGTGACAGCAGTAGGGTGTTTTCATCTTTAACTTGGGGCTGTGGAAGTTTCCTGATTGCAGACATGTTTGCTTTGTAGCAGGAGGCTGAGCTGAGCTTCTAAACAAGGGAGTTTAGGAGTGATGAGTGGCAAGCCAGATACTCTAGGACTGTTTTCTGTTTTGAAAATCAACATGCACTTTAGAGTTACTGTGGCCCTCTCCTAAAAAGGATTTAGTCCTCTTTCTGCTGAGGGCACGGTAACAACCTATTGTCAGAGGAGCGGAGGTATGTGAAATGTGGGTGTTTAGAGGAGTTAGTGTTTTATTACCTACCGGAAGGAGAACCCAGAATAAGAACTTTTGAAAGAACCTAAATAGCAAATTATAGTTTAGGTTTTTATGCAAGGAAATAGCAAGTCCACTGTACTTGTTGGAGGGGCAAGCCACTGGGGGGGGGGGGGGTTCAGGGCTTGAAGTTTAAAAGATCGTATGTTTGAATTGTCGAAAAGATTAGAAAAGAACAGCTCTCTGGAATATGCCAGGGTTGAATAGAGAGGCCTTTAAAATATTACAAATTAGAGAAAGAAGTCAGTTATAAAACACCAAATCTTCTATGCTCCCATTTATGTGAAAAGTTCAGCCGATCCATAGAGACAGGGAAATTGATCCCCAGGTGCTGGGGAGGGCAAGCTGGGAGTGATTGTTAAAGGGTACAGGAGTTTTTTGGGGAATGATGAAAATGTTCTAACCTCAGTTTTCAGTGAAGGTTATACAACTTTGAATATACTTAAAAACATTGAGTTGTGTGTTTGAACATAGTTGTCTCAGGGTATGTGATAACATCTGAATCCCTTTTTGTTTTTTGTTTTTTTAATTGCAAAGATTAAGAAGAATACATTGTGCCACCTAGGACATAAGATTTGACTAAGATTATTCAGTAAACATAAATGCAGGTTGGTGTTGGTTTTGTTGTTGTTGTTTCTTTTCTAAATTCATGAGCTTTTAAGATCCATGAATTAGTGCAATATGACAAATTGATAATGAAGCTGTAACAGCAGGGATCAGATGCCAGGCAAGAAATGGACAAACAGAGAAAAAAAGAATCTCATTCTTAGCTTGGGAATTGAGAGATTGAATTTAAAACATCAGCACACGAATGCTAATGATAGTGTGATTTTTTTTTTTTTTGGACAGTAAAAGTCCTCAAACCCAATCTAAGTTGATGGTCTGTAGGGGTTAGGAGCCCAGGCAAGGGGCCTGTTTGTGTCTACAGTCTTCCAACAAAGAAATAAATACATTGTTTTGAGCAGGAAAGGAAGTTCATCTCTTCTGTAGTAACTACAAGTAGCAGCGACAACAGAGGAAGAACTGCTTCTTTTTTTTTTAATTTAAAAACGTTATTTCTTAAATACTCCACAATCTGAGTAGATGGATCTTGGTTGGCTACAGTTGTTTAGGAGCCTATTGCCTTAAAAAAATTAAATGAAAAATTAAAATTCCTTAGAACAAAAGATTTAAGAGTGCAAAGGGTTTTGTTTTTAAACTGTTGTGCCTTTATCTAAATGTGCTTTGCCTTTTCTATAGGAACAGACACAGAAATTAATGTTTGCATTGGGTTTTAGCTTTTGTCTCAAGGTTATTTTCTGGTGAAAATATTTCCTGCTCTTGTTATTGTTGCAAGGTAGATCAGTAATGAGCATCAACTGTATCATTTTCCCTCCCTCCCTCCTCTCTCCCTTCCTTCTTTCCTTTTCCCTGGAGCCCTTGAGATACTTTTGTTTCCTTTAATCTGGTTTCATTTGGTTTGTAAGAATGTGCTTCCAGGAACTGAATCTAGCCAGTGATTAGTGGGCACCTACTGTGTGAAAACCAAGGAGTGCTAGGTACTGAATTCACCAACAGAGAAAGGACTTTCCTTGATTTTGTCTTTGGGGAACTTTCCATGAATTTGCATGAAAAGAAGTTACTTGAAAAATCAGCACCCCCCCCCCCACCAGACCTAGCATGCAGCACACTGTTCAAATCCATGATGGGGTGCATTTTGAAGGCCTTTTAAAACATTTCTGTAGGCTTGGCTAGTATGGTGGGCAGCCAGTGCTACACGTTACCCTGTGGCAGGCTCCTTCATACTGGAATTTCACCATAGACCATAGCGTATGGTATCTGTCTATCTAATCAGGCGTCTTTCTAACACTGGTGTGGCAGTTGTGGTTAAAACTGTGCATATAGTATAAAGGGTGTGCTTGTGCACCTGTAACCCTAGCACTTAGGAGTCTGAGGCAGGAGGATCACCAGTTTGAGGGCAGCCTGTGCTACATAGTGAAACCTTGTCTCACAATCAAAACAAAATAAAAATTAGTCACAGGTATTTTCATAAATGTTGCTTGGCATGATTCAAATTTCTAGGAAGGCAGGACCAGTTTCAGAGGCTCTCCATGTATACATTGCTGACACAGCTTCGAGATAATCATTAGGAAGTGTTCAGAATTTCAGATCTTTTTGTGATTTAAAAATGGACTTTTTTTTTTTTAAGTATGAGAGGTAAGAATGAGATGAACAGGCAATAATACCTTAAAAGATTTTCTTTTTTCAATCATAGAGCAC